CGCGCCCGGGATCCGAACCCGGGCCGCCAGTAGCAGAGCGCGCGCACTTAACCGCTAAGCCACGGGGCCAGCCCGAGGGAGTCAGGTTTAAATACAGGTCCCTGGTGCCAACTCCAGAGAGAGCAGTTCCATAAGTCTGCCCTGCATGTCAACCTTCTGACACAGGTGGTCCCTGGGCCATGTCTAGAGAAAATGCCAGAACTAACTCTGGAAACAAAATTAGAGTCTTCTTCTGATTTTCTCTTTTACTTTTATTAATGTTTTCTCTCTTGCAATGTGATTTCAGGATACTGCCATGTTCCCTAGGCATGTGGTGAGGATCCATTTGATTAATTTAGTGGGTTCCTTGAAAATATCAAATGATTTAAACTCTTGTCGTTTTACTTGTGTTCTGTCATGGGGATGCGGGATATAAAAAAATAGGCTGTGTGAGTGTTGAAAGTTTTCAGTTGACCCAAAGACTTTTTTCAGCCACTGTTGTTATATTTTTGTGGTCAGTGAATGAATCGGCCTGGTAAAGTTTTCACATGTTGTAAGACCCCAGAAGGCTCTAAAATATAGATGTGTGTGCTGTTTCTGAGGCTGGGTCATGGCACCCTTTTCAGTGTCTGCTATTTCATTTTCAGAGAATGTGAATGTGCTGCATTTCCTCCCCATCCAGCCAGTTTTATTTCATTAAAATATAGGCCCCAGTTCCCAGCAGCTGTAAGGAAATGCTCCTGATTTGTGGTTTTTCACTTCCTGGTTTCACATTTTAACCATGTGCCATGTTAGCGCAGCGAGTCTTTTCTGGTCTCAAGACCCATAGCCAAGAATTCTTAAGAATAGTCAGACACATGGGAGGCAGTGTCTCTGGAGTTGCATCTCCTGGCTTGAAATCCTAGGCCCTCCACTTTCTAGCTGTAAGACCTCTGGTAAAATACTCAGTCTCTATGTGCCTCCTCAGTCTCCTTGTCTGTAAAAAGGGGTCAGTGATCTACCCCAGAGGTTCAATGTGAGGATTAAATGGGGTAATACGTATAAAGTACTTAGCAGTCTCTGGCACACAGTAAGTACTCAATAAATGTTAGCTGTTACTATTTTATTAAACAAAGCTGGCCATGAATGGAAGGTGGTTATGAGGCCTAGTGAGGGAGTTGAGGATGTGTCTGCCTTGCCATCCGTGTGTGCCTGTGTTCCCACATATGAACACATGTTCACGCATATGTATGTTGTTGGCCGTCATACAATATGGCAGTAAAGCAGAGACGTATCAAGTATGTCTTGTGAAGTCTGCCTTATTCTTCCTTTTTTGGTAAGCTGTGTGTGCATATACATTTGCGTGTATGTCCATAAAACTTGTGTTTACTTCTTTCAATTATGTGTAAGGGATTAAGTGGTCCTGCCTAGAAAACACACACAGTGATAAAGGATGGTGGCAATGGCCCTGACATGAAGGAGGAAAAACATGTTTTCTCCTCTTTCTTGTTGTTCTAATATAGATTTATATTGCTGGCCATGATCAGCAAATATGTTTAATTTTTTAAGGAAAACTTTTCTTTCAAGACTCAGTTTATTCCATAGAAAAATCTCAATTAAATGTGTTAAAACTTGAGTTCATGTGGACTGGGCTCTGGGCGTGAAGGTGGTAGCTCAAACTAAGGGATTCTGAACCATGGCCTTGGGCAAGTCATGTGTTTTTTTCCTCCAGTTTATACCAGCTATTGAAAGGAGATGACAGAAGCTTTTTAGTTTGATGTAGTCCCATTTGTTTACCAGAGGGGAAGGGGGGAGGGAGGAGGGTGAAAGGGATAATTCGGTACATGTGTGTGGTGATGGGTTGTAATTAGTATTTTGGTGGTGAACATGATGTAGTCCATGCAGAAATAGAAGTACAATGATGTACACCTGAAATTTTTGCAATGTTATAAACCAATGTTACTGCAATAAACAAAAAATTAAAAAAAAATAAAAATAAAAGTTAAAACTAATAAATTTTGAAAAGGAAAAAAAAAAAACAAAAAACAAAAAAAAAAAAAAAGAAAGGAGATGACATTGTTGTCTACATACCTCTTTGAGGAAGGTCCAGACTGACTAGTAAACATCAGTGAAATGCTAGGAGAGGAAAAAATGGCAAATGACATCCTTAAACGAACGCCCTTAAATTTAAGATGGATGGAGGCAACTAAAATGCGGTGTCTCCTAACATCAAATATCCCACCTGAACTGGGTTTTAGGTGTGATAGAACTGGCAAACAAGACTTCAACAGTGATGGGCAGAAGTTGAGGCCTGGAAAAGCAGCAGTCCAGGAGTTTGGAAGTTATCTGTAATGAGAAAGCCATGGTGAAGACCTAAGGCTATGTTATGCAGTGTTGCAGGAAGCAGTTAAGTACAGATTTCAGAGAATTTGGGACAAGATGTGAACTGAATTGGTTCATCCAGCATTGAAAGGAGAGCTCTGAACTCAGGCCAAGGAGATTCTGCCACTTACCAGCTTGGTGACCTTGGGTAAGTCGCTGAGCCCCATTTCCTCATTTGCAAAATGGTTGCTCATTCTGGCTCCTTTTTAACTCATGTGGTTGCAGGATGAGATAGGGTGATGGGTTTCAGAGGCGCTTTAGGAAAGACCACAAGCTATCCCAGTGCCAGAGGGAATAACTGTTTCTGCTTGGGGTCAGATCAGGTGACCTTTACCTCCAACAACCTCTGGATACCTCCCGTAGGGCTCATTTTTCTTGGTCCTGTATGTTGGCAATGTGCTTTACAGGACTTTATGCCACCAATTAAATAACCTTCTTAGAGGCTTTTAAGAAATATTGACTAGCCTGGCAGACAGAAATTAGTAAATGTATCATTCTTCCTTATACCAGATAGGGCTTTATACAATTTCGATGCAGAGTTTTGGTTCAAGAGAAATCTGATTATTCTGTTCCAGGTCCTGAATCTGCTGAGTTAGTCTTTTCTCGAAGAATATATCACTCTCTCCTTTGCCATTTGTGTAGTGTTGGGTCAGATGTTACTTTTTACGGAGGGTTTTGTGAAGATATGAACTTAGATGTAAGTGTAAGTTTTATGACTTTAGCTAACACTAGGTCTTCAGATGTTATTTTTAAGTCACTTTGGTCAGGACTTTGGTGACTCCTGTGGTTGTGAGTGTCAGGTTTCAGACATTTGTCATGTTTAGTTGTTTCATGTTTAGGTTTGTATCTGCAGAGTTTGCTTTTAACATAACATCTAGCAAATAAAGCTCTTCAAGGTTTATAGTAGAACTTCATCCTAAGGGGGTGGATTTGGGGGCAGGGGAGTCACAGGGAGTAGGAGATGGGTGCCAAGATCACCTCCTCATCCAGACTTTCATAGCTAGAATGAGAAATCTGTATCCTTTATGATGCAGGGTGCTTGATTTGCCTTCTGTTGTGTTGGAAGCCATGGAATAATGGTGGCATTCTTTGCATTGGAGTACCAGTCTTCCTGACTTCCCACCTGGGAAAGCCACTTGGAGTGGGCTTTCTGTCCCTGGGAGAGCCAGGCCCTCCTTGGGTTGCCCTCTTCTGCCTGCTGACAGTGCACTCAGCACCTGGGAGTTAGCCTGAGAGCTCTGCGTTTGTTCTCATCGAGACCAGGCGGCTTGTGATTTTGCGCGATGGGGTGGAGTGTATTCGTATAGTTGCCAAAGATGTGATTAGACAAGATATTCATTCTGAACTGCTGCCCTCGTCTCTCTGTTCAACTCTGTTCTTCCTCAGTGAGGTTTAGGCCGAGAAAAATGGAACAGAGAGAACTAGGCCACTGGCTTTTGAAAAATATTGATCAGTGAGCACATCAGATGTAGCAAAGACCTTCCCCTTTGTATGATGTCATGCTGCGTGGGGGCCTTAAGGTGGCCTGTGATCACTCCTGCGGGGACTCGCTTTCTCGGGGAAAAGATTAGAAAAGGAAAAGAATCCCTATAGGCCATATCCAAAAATAATGTAAGCATTTCTAAATGTGTTTCCTTGAGGTCGTTGATCCCTTTGATTTTCTAGGCCATGTGGTGGCAGGAAGGAACGATGTGAGGTGGTCAGCCTTGAGCAATAAACTTCTAAGCAATGCTGATCTCAGTTCCTCTCTCCTATCCGCCTCTCCCTGGCTTGGGCCTCCACTGCTGTCTGTCTGTTTGTCTCCCCTCCACCCACACACATACCATCATACATACCACATGCATGTTCTCCCCACAATGCATGTCTGTGGTGTGGACAATTGCATCCGTACTTGAGCCAGCTCTAAGTCAAGGCCTCCCAGCTGGGCCACACTGGGTGAGTGAGATGCTGTTAACCTTGAGTGCCCTCCGGTCAAGTGAAGTGTGGCCCTGGCTTTTATCTTGATTCGCCTGGGTTGGTTCTGTGTAAGCAGCCAGGGTTCCTGCTAATGGATCCCTTGGGACAGAGGAAAGAGGACAGAAGTGGATTTGTTGAACCCCTGTGGGGCATTTGAAATGGCACCAAGAGTAGGCTGAAATCTAATCAGCCTTTGCTTATCAGGCCTGAGTTCCAGCATGCTGAAAGGGTGATGATTAGTAAGAAAAAGGCCAGAATATTTTATCTTTTCCTTTGCACATTTGGGGAAAATTTCCTCTGCCTTGCTAGCATTAGAAGCAGACCATTCTTTTGACTCTACCACATCATATCAGCTTTCATTAAAAATCAAAAGCAGCGAATGCAAAACCCCATCCATGGAAAACCGTTTAAGGCAACACTGTGCTCCAGCGCTTCAGGGGTGGGGTTTTTTGCCTTCTGCACCAACGGATCAGTTTCTCATATTCATGCCTTTCTTACCCAGCAGCTTTTGAAAGACCAAGAAGCATTGCTCTGCTTTCTACTGCCTCTCTATAAGAGACCAGGGCTGCCCTGCCTCTAGCCATGTCCCAGAGAGCATATTTGAGACAAGTCAGCTTAATTTGCCTGCATGCCTAGGAAGCCTCTCTTTAAAATCTAATTTTGAGAGAAGGACTGTATCTAAATATTTTACTTTTCCCCTCCAGGCGAGCGACGGAGGCGCCGGTGCCAGGTGGCGTTCAGCTACCTGCCCCAGAATGATGATGAGCTTGAGCTGAAAGTTGGTGACATCATAGAGGTGGTAGGAGAGGTAAGTGTACCAGGTGGGTAGGTGTGGTGGCCTCATGTGGGCTGTCAGAACCCACCCATGGTTGGCCTTGCCATGTGGATGTTAGAACTCAAAGAGAGCTTAGACATCATCTAGTTGAGTCTCTTCTCAGGGGAAGTGGGTTCCCAGAGAGGAATGCCACCAAGCCCATTGGGGGCAGATGTGGGGCCATTTAAAATCATTGTCTTTTTAACACAGCATGCTAGGTACCTCTGAAATTCCAACCCAATGCCCTAACTTTTCTCCTCTGCTTCAATTGCTAGTAGACTCTGGGTATCCAGAATGACCCTGATCCATCTCTAGAGGATGGATTCAGTATTCATCATGGCAGACAGTGTGGGTTCAAAGGGAAGGAAAAGAAGTGACATTTATAGCAGACCTAGTGACAGGTATAACAAGGTTCTTTATGCATTGGCCCATTGACTCATCACAACCACTTTATTTCGTAGATGAGGAAAGAGGCTCAAGAGACCCTGGAAGAGGCAGGGCTAAGGGTTGAAGCCAGGGCCACCTGGCTGGAGCCCCTTATCTTTCTACTGCACCACATTCCCTTGTTCCATCTTGGTCCTGGCTGCTCAGAGCCAGCCCTGCTGGCGAAGTGTCCTACCAGACACTGGCAGGGGCTTTCAGGCTCCACTTCCTTGGGCCTACGGGATCCTGGGCTTCAGACTTAGAACCTGACCGCTCATTCTGATTCAACACATGTATCCATGTATAGAAATATAGTTTTCCAATTGCTTTGATTTCCTGAATACCATTTGACCTTACAGAAACCCATGACTTACAAAAAAAGACGCTAGAAATCAGGGAGGAGAGTAAGTGAACTATGATGTGGGTGGAAGTGGCAGGGCTGATGCTAGCAGCCAGATTTCCTGCCTTTCATACAAGCATAAAGTGAGCATGCGTCAGAGCTTCATTCAGCTTATTAATGAGGGGGTCTGCAAGGTGGCAAGGCTGGCTCAAAGAGAATTGTGAAAGAGCAAAGTATTTATAATGACCGAAAGAGAAAATACTTGATTAAGATTGCTAAGTTAAATGTAAAACTTTGTAGTGTCCTACAAGGCAATAAAACTGTAACCTTTGAGGTTATTTTGTCCAGGGGGTAAATCACTTGCATCTCTGCTGGTCAAAATTTATTTTCATTGCTATCTGGCAAGAATCATTGGCATCACTTTCGGGTTTCTACCAGCTAACATCTGCACTAACAGAGTTGTAAACTAACCTCATAAATAGTAAATAATGTGTCAAACACAGATACATGTCCCTAGAGTAGCAGTTAATGGGGTTCCCAGCCTGGCACTGGGAGGACATGCAGTAACCCTTTTGCCTATTTCCCAGTTTTGAGTACTTTGTATTAATATGTCATTCATCCATTTTTTATCCGTGGTGCCAAGCAGGGCACATAGGAGACATTGGTGGAAAGTTGAATGAGTGAAAAATGAATGGACGGGCCGGCCCCGTGGCTTGGTGGTTAAGTGCGCGCGCTGCGATGCTGGCGGCCCGGGTTCGGATCCCGGGTGCGCATTGAGGCACCACTTCTCTGTCCATCCTGGGGCCGAGTCCCACATACAGCAACTAGAAGGGTGTGCAGCTATGACATACAACTATCTACTGGGGCTTTGGGGGCAAAAAATAAAATAAATAAAATCTTTAAAAAAAAAAAAATGAATGGACAACAGAGTAGAACATTTATGCAAATGGTAGGAGGACAAATTTCTTAAGACTGAAACCATGGAAGAAATTTCAGAGGAAAGAATAAACAATTGTGACTAACAAAAAGAGTTAAAATTTTGGTATGATTTGAAATGAGTTTAGCTAAACAGAGAGAACAACAAACAGGAAAAAATTTGCAATAAATTTTGACGAATAGTTATATATGTAACATATGAAAATATATTGGGAAGCTGCTATAACAATAATAAATGATAGATAAATCTGCCATAAACACAAATCCCACAAGGGGAAATAAAAATCTTAACCATGAGAAAATGTTCTGCCTTGCTATTAATTAAATAAATACAAATTAAGACAATAATGGGTTCCTGCTTTTGAAAATCCTAAGAAAATATTTAGTGGTAAGACTGTTGGCAATGCTCAGAAGAAGTGGTGACTTTGTATATCTTTATGATCCTAATATGAAGCTATTTATCAAAGTACGTCAAGAGCTATAAAAATCTGAATTAACACCCTTTGACCCAGTAATCTCACTCCTAGGAATTTATCCACAGAAAATGTTTAACAGGAAAAAAAAAAGTGAAACGTGTTAATTGCAGCAGTGCTTGTGGTAAGGAAAAATAATCAAGAAAGGGAATAGTTAGGAGAATTAACTTATATTATCTGGCTAGAAGATTGTGAAGCCATTAAGATGGTAAACACAGAGGCCTTTGAATCTGTATTTATTACAATACTGTGCATTGTAATTATCTGTTATATTCTGCTAACCTGAGAGCTTTTCAACAGCGGGGATCTGCTTTTTATCTATCTTTATATTTGTGGTACCTGGAATAGTGCCTGAAACCTAATACATACTTTAATAAATGCTCGCTGAATAAGTAAATGAATATGGAAGTATGAAAAGATTATTTTGCAAAATAAATTAACAGATCAGAACACAAAGTTGCATACACTGGGATACAGTCATGTAAAATATATCTCCATGCACGTGATCAAAGACTGAAAGGGAGCAAAATTGAAAATGCTTGTCACAGAAGATGATTTTTCCTTTAATGCTGTAATAATGTTTTAAGGAATACAAATTAAGATAAGGAAAATTATTAATAAATTTCTGGGAAATATGGCCCACTCTCACCTGCCTGTTGGCTGTAGGGAAAGCGAGCATGGATTGCTAAAGGAGAGGAGTGATGGCAGGGCTGTTACTCTCCTCGCCTAGATGACCTACAACTTCACCACCACCTACAATGCCAGTCTCCTTTCCACTCACTGCCAGTTCAATGCTAGGCTTCACTCTGGGCTTGCTTCAATTAGGAAAAAGGAAGAATAGCTATGTAGCCTATGACATTTACATAAAGCAAAAGGTTAAGTTTGGCCTTTTAATCCATATTTTTAAAATTATACCATCAAAAACTCCTTTCCCTATTGTTCCAGTTTACTTGTAGTATTGCAGATATTGGGCCATTGTCACTATATAATATAAAATCTGCCCTTTTTACTTAGAATGGATGTTGTAATAAATGCGAATGGGTAGCTCTTCTCTAATTCCACAAAACTAAAAACGAAATAAACAAAAGTCCCAAATAAACAAAATCCCTTAAATCACAGGGACAGACTGAGGTAAGACCATAGTAATAGCTTTGCAATACTATAGAATCAACCAATCTGTTGGTCATTAAAATGTAACATATTGTGTATGTGTATATATATAAAATATGTTATATCCTTATTGATTGATAGATTGATTCTACAGAATTGCAAAGCTGTACACTCACACACAAATGCACACCCTCCCCCCAAAAAACCACATAACTCTTAGGAGGATTTTAAAGATATGGACTGGTTTTTTGAAACAGTTGAATCAAGTAGAGAATCCTAAAAAATTATATACATATATCTTATTTAATTTTATCTTAAAATATAAAAATGTATATTCATTTGCCATTTGTCAACACAACCTCATAGGGCCAAGGCATCTTCCTTAAATATGGGTTTGCTGGTTTGGGTTCCATCCTCTCTGTGTCCATAATGCATCCTCTATAGATCCCATTGGTTTCTTTAAAGTAGATTGACAATTTAATAACATAAGTGAAGCAATTGGAATACATAATTCTTCTAAGGTTCTACAGTCCACTACCTCCAATCTCCTTTAGTTGTCTTGTCCACACCTAATTTGGCAGCAGTGTTTTTTTAACCTTCAAGTCATTACCATTATCCCTTCTCACCACTAACTCTTTCTCTTCACACTTATATACTTTTGAGCTATTTAACCAAATCGTGGGCTAACAATAAGAGCAACGGGCTTAAGCAGATTTGGGTAGACACAGCCCTGATCCTCATCTGGCAGGAGTCAACTACTAGCCTCGAGCACTCAGCCTGGATGTGCCTCTGCAGTGTGGCTTAGAGAAGGAATGGAGAACATGGGCAGTCCAAGGATGAGTTGAGTTGACAAAGGGCAGTTGCTCAAGAAAGCGCTTACCGTGCTTCTGCCTCCTGGCTGGAGAACGGTGATTCTGCTGTCATCATTAGATTCATTATTGTGAACCTAAAGGAACTGGGCTGCCAATTCGAAAGGAAAAAGAGCAGGCTAAACTGGATAGATATTTTTAAAGAAATCATTGTAAATATATAGTTGTGTCATTTTTTGTCCGGAGTGGAGAGGATTGATAAATGCAGGTGAAGTTCTAATTATAAGAAGAACAGAGATAACATATAGACAAGGTTATCAGGAGAAATGGCATTTGAAGGGCTCTAGAGTTTCAAAACTGGCTTATTGGCCTGTTTTTTTATTGAAAAGTGCATTGAAGCCTCTTGTTTTTCTGTCTCTGTTATCTAGAGCCTGGGAAAGGAGCCGCTTTTCCTCTTGTGTTGGATGACCTTGGTCTCAACCACTCTCTCTTAGTGGTGACCCAAGGGATGTTCAGAGATTCTTGCTTTTATTTGTTCTTTGTGGTTAGTTTTTGAGGTATTGCTTAGTGGTCCCCAGTCAGGCTGGCTGGAGACCAATGGCTTTATGTTCGGACTTAAAGCTTAACCTGGCCTTGCAGTTTGCAGAGATGGTAACTTGCACTTCCAAGAAACTTATGCATCTTCTTTCTTGTGCCCATAGCAAGAGATTGGGTTCTCTCAGCTAGAGTTAAATAGGCTGTTGAAATTCTTCAAAACGTTAACTTAATCAGACAACCTTTGTGAGTGTGGATGGGCAGTTGTGATATTGCGATTTATAATAAGAAATATATATTTAGTCTTTGTCCCTTTTCTAGCACAGAGCTCCTAAAACTCTTGGAATTTTGTAAATGAAGGAGGGGGGT